CAGGAATGCGGGTGTAGACGGAGACGTGGCCCCAGCCCTCACAGCTACCCCAGCTTCCAACCCCTGCTCCACGCGGCCCGGCATTCCCACCCCCATCTGTACAGACAGGTCCCTGCCCACGTCCAGCCCCGCCCACTCTCACCTGAGTGCTCTCCAGGACACGGGTGTGTCTCGGGGGCTCCGTGCTTCCTCCTGCACCAACAGAAATAGAGAACAACAGCGACAGCACCAGAGAAGACGGCAACAGCAACAGCAACAGCAGCGCCAATAGTGGCATGCGACCGTCCACTCTGAAGATCCACAGCCTTCCCTGAACAACAGACCTTACTATACCCGGGGCTCCCAGAGCCACAGATTCTTCCTGCCACGACCCCTAGCCCCACCCAGGCCCTGTCCCCCCAGCCCCCCAGGCTCACCAGGCACAGGGTGAGTGCTGTGGTTCCCGCCGTGCCCCACGTGGCAGGTGAACTGTGGCTCCTCTCCCTGGGGGACCCGGGTGACCACCCAGGCCTGGTAGGTGCCATTCTCATAGGGCAGGACACCCCCTGACCACTGGGCATCTTGGCTCAGGGGCTGCCCATCCTGATGCCAGGCCAGAGAGATGTTCCAGGGATAGAAGCCGAAGGCCCAGCATGTCAGGTTGACGGTGCCCCCCGAGGGCTCACTGTGGGTCACAGTCACTGCTGGGGACAATGGAGGAGAAAGGGGACAGCCATGAGGCAGGGGGTCCTGGCTGGCCCGTCCTCACTGCTGGGGACACTGGAGAAGAAAGGGCAGAGCCATGAGGCAGGGGGCCATGGCTGTCCCTCTCTGAGGGAGGCACAGGGACGGGCTGACCTCTCCACTTATTCACTTCTGGCTGGAACCTCACTGACCCCAGACCTGCAAGTCTGACCCACCCTGGGCCTTTCCTGAGCCTGCCAGGTGGGGATCAGGATTGTGGCCTCATGCTCCTCAGTCCACGTGGTGATACTGAGGGGGGCGCGTATGGGTGGGTTTCTAGAATCCAGAACTAGGAGAGGTCTCTGAGATAGACAGGCTGGGAGATACATGGAAGGCTCTGTCTCAGAAGCTTCCTCTCCTGCCTAGCACTCACCTCCCAGGACAGGTTTCTATCTGGAGCCCACTGCTTTCCGGGGTTACACACTGACACTTCATTCCCTAACTCTGTCTTCCTCCAGGAGCTCCGACAGGACAGGAAGGTCAGAGTATAGCAGGTCAGCAGAGCATGCCTGCACCCACGGCAGGGGAGGGTGTCCATGGGCAGCATGGGGGTGAGGAGGCTCCAGTGCAATGGGGGACAGGGAAGCCCCTCTCCAGGGTCAGTACCTGGTCTCTGGAAGCCCATCCGGGAACGCAGATATCGCTTCAGTTCTCCCACGCAGTCTGCCAGCGTATAGCGGTAGTGCTTCCTGGCTTCTGCGGCACCGTCCTCCCAGGACCTCTGGAGACTCGCAGCCAGAGCCTGAGCTGAGGGCCAGGGCACTGTCCATCGCTGAGTCTTCGGGTCATAGGAGAGCAGGGGCTCCCCATCATAGCGGAAGTCCCTGAAGCCCCTGGTGCTACCGTCTCCCCGGATCTC